CTGCACCCGACGCCTGTCCATCCCGGGGCCCCACCCGGTCCCGAGGTCCGGGTCTACGACTCCAGCACTGGGAAGCTCATCAGGCCGGCCGCCCAGGGCCCCGGGCCCACGCCGCCCAGCACCTTGCCCGACCACAGGGAGGCCTCCTCCTTCCGGTACGTGGGACACCCAAGGGCTGTAGGTAAGAGCTGAGCTGTAGTTCTCTCGCCTTTTACTTAATTTATTTCTGTCTCGCGCGAGAGACAGGTGGGTGTACAAGCACCCCCACAGGCCTGGCCTCCTGCCATGGGCCGCCCCAGCTCTCAGCATGTCAGGTCCCTGGGGAGGCAGCCTGGCGCCCCCAGCCTATGAGTCGGGCCCATGGTGTGGAGGGTGGCTCAGGTGCCCCGGGGTCCGGTGGGAGCTCCGCCTGACCGAGGCCCGTACTCCAGCCCAGGAGGCCCGTGCTGCCCTGTGCTCTCGACCCTGCTGCTCACAGGCCTGTCCTATCTGGACCCCAGAACTGACCCAGAGAAGCCCGATTCAGGGCCGCAGCATCACACCCAGGACGTGCCGTGTGCATCCTCATGGCCACTCTGCTGGGCTCCCTCCAGGGCTCAGGATGGCTGCAAGAACCCGCACCCTGGGTGCTCAGCGGAGGCCGGTCCACAGGCTCCAAGCACAGTCAGGCCCTGCCTAGGCAGGTGGAACGCAGCTGGGCCAGGCTCTGGGTACCAGGTCAGGACCGCTGAGGGCACCTGTGACCGGAAGGGAACATGGATCTCAGTTGCCCCACCCAGGCCACAGCCCAAGCAGCCCTGCCTGTGGACGGTCCCGGAGGTTCTCGGACCTGCGTCGGCGTCCCTCACACAGTGCTGTGGTTCCGAGGCTCCTCAGACGCCATCGCTCTGTCCCTTCTCCTTTCTCGCGGCACCCAGACAGGTGGCCCGGGGCTGGATGTGCGCCCGCCCCAGGTGCAGGCTGGCCTGGCATGGTAGCGTGCCTCCTGGGGCTCTCGGGTGGGCCTGAGTCCAGCCCCGTCCACGACCTCTGGTTCCCTGGCTGCAGCGACACCTCAGAGGGCTCCCCAGGTGAGGTGGACTCAGAGCCTTGGCCAGCCCTGGAGCAGGGCAGCCTCCCAGGTCACCTCAGCCCCACCTGTTCCCCTCTGGTTTGCCACAGGGCAGCAGAAGTGCCCCGTCCTGCCGCCTTGAGCTGGCTCTGAGTGGCTGTTCTGCTGGTGGGGACTGAAGCAAGTGTCTTCTCCCCATGACGTGAGGACCCAGGCTGTGCCAGGTTTCCCTGGCCGCTGCCCTCGCCCACATCCTTCCGGAGGCAGGGTGCCACCTCGGTGGCCATGCGGCCTTCTACTTAGGGATGGGATTGGGATGTTGCCAGACGTGTCTTCGTCCCCCTTCTGCAGCAGGGCCACGTCCCTGTCCTAGGCCGGGGCGCTGGTGGCCCAGCTGTGTGTGTGGTGTGGCTCACAGGTGTCACCGCCTGCAGGTGGTGCACTTCGGCACACTGGCGGGTGCAGAGACGGGGTATCTCCGGCACCGCTGAGGGCGAGCCATACTGAGTAGACCGACCTATGGAGGCTCACCGTAGCCACGCACCTCCATCCACAGCGACGGTTCTGCCCTTGAGTTCCCACCACGTCCCTTCTGGGCAGCGTTCACTGGGACCCTAAGGTGGTCCCTGTCAGCGCAGAAGGGGCCTGTGTGGCCTTGTTCCAAGCTGTCCTCGAACCACGGGAACACTGGTGACCTCCTGTGTAGTTGGCATCTTTGGTCCAGACGTTCAGAGCTACACTGCAGGGTTCAGTGAGGCTCCTCAGAGCACTTCTGACGGTGGACGCACCTGACCCCAAGCCCACCCATCTTAGCCCCGGGTGGTGCGATGCTGTGCTTTGGTCCCTAGGAGGCAGGGGCGAGCGAACGCACCGTCAGCTACCCCCAGCTCGGCTAGCGAGGGGATGCCGTAGGCTCTGCAGACCCCCAGGGTGGCCCTGCCTGCCAGGTGACACTGGTGTCAGCCAGGGTGGCACTGCCTGCCAGGTGGCGCTGGTACCTTGCCACGGCGCCCCCTGCTGCTCTGCACTCGCTCTCTCATCCGAGAGCCTGCCGGATGGGAGCCGGTCCCTTTCCTCACGTGGCTGTAACATCCATTTCAGAGCTGTTCAGCCCCACCAGCAGCAGACATTCGGGGAAGAGCCAGCCGACACCCCCAGTGGAGAGCAGCCCGGCCCGACCAGGAGGCGGCGCCAGCCCAGCCTGTCGGAGACCATGCCGCTGTACACCCTCTGTAAGGAGGACTTGGAGAGCATGGACAAGGAGGTGAGCATGGCCGCGCTCTGTCCCCGCGTCACTGCCCTTGTCCTCCCAGCACCCTCCTGGGACACGTGCTGACACGTGGAGATGTGTGTGTCACTCAGGGGCGCTGACCTCCAGGGACAGGAGGCGGGGAAGCTGCTCACAGTGCAGGGGGTGCCTCGAGGGATGCCTGGCCGGGGTGTGGGGTGTGCAGTGTGCCAGGGGAGAGTCCTGGACTGTGAGTACACACACGTGGGCAAGCACACACACGTCGTGGCCGGCACTCCTCATGGCATCTCCTCGTTACGGCATTTGGCGTTCTAACAAAGCAGCAGGGTCTGTGTTCCCAGTGCCTTACGGTGGGGGCGATTCGCGTTACAGCCGCAGACGTGCGAGGACAGAGGAGCCCCGCTCGCTTCCCGAGTCTGCATGCCTCTGTCCTGGTTCACTGCGGAGCAGCCGTGGCAGGGCGGGTGCTCACACGAGGCCCCCTGCCATCTGGCTGCCTGGGCTCTGCCCGTGACCATCCGCGTGCCGTGTTGTGTGGTGAGGACAGCTTTGACCCTGTGCTCCTGCGCCAGGGCAGGAGGGCACGGCTCTCGGTCACTGCGTCCAGGCCTGCAGCTCCGTCCTGCGGCAGTCAAACCACCTTCAGTTGTGCTGACATTGCATGTTCGCCATGTCCCTGCCGTCGTGAGCACTAGCTGGTGTTAATGAGAACGTTAATGCCCGGGCCAGCCAGCGGCATGCTGGCTAAGGTGCTGGAACCACATGGCAGATTCTGTGGTTCAAGTCCTGGACCTGAGGCCTGAGAAACAGTCCAGGCACATCTGTGTGCAACCCTGAGAGGAGCCCGGCTCTTGTGTGTGCAGCCCCATGAGAGGAGCCCGGCTCACATGTGCGCAGCACCACGAGAGGAGCCTGGCTCATGTATGTGTGCACAGCCCCACGAGAGGAGCCTGGCTCATGTGTGCGCAGCCCCACGAGAAGACGCTGGCCACCCAGGGAGCTCGCACACACAGCGAGTCTTTTTAAAACACTGTCCTGAGGTGTCTCCCTCAGCCAGCACTCCCCTCCTCTGGTCCAGACTTCAGGGAGGTGAGAGGGCCCTGCCGAGGCCAGCTGCTGGCTCCGACAGCCTGACCCTCCCCGTTGCCATCTCCCTCTGGTCTTCCCAGCTTTTGTGGAGCTGGCCCTGGGTCTGCACGCTCTCCCACGCAGAAAGGAAGTGCAGCTTCTGGGTGGCGATGGCGGCTCCAAGGTCGTCGATAGGGACTATGCCCCAGCATGAAGCAGAAGGCTTAAACTCAGGACAGCCACTCCGAAACCAAGCTCTTTCCGTCAGCATGAACACTGCCCTGAGCCTCTGTTCTGGCTCTTCCAGAGTGAGCAGTGCCCGAAGAGGGATGTGCCGCCCACACGGCCACTCCTAAACTTGGGGTCACAGGCAGGAGCGGGCTGGGGGCTCGGTCCATGAGGCTCTGGGTCTATTTGATTCCTGAGGCCCAGCCAGCCTGGCCAGTCACCGGGGGCCAGCCCTGCCTTGGTGCACATGGGGGAGGTCGGGTAGGGGCTCTTTAGAGGGAGCAGCATGAGGAAGCAGCCACGGTGCAGGCCGGGACGGACCCAGGTTCTGTGTGAGGAGCCCCGGAGCTGGGCGCCATCCACCTCTGTCCAGTGGGTGATCTCTCTGGTCTCTGCCCCACCTGGGGCCTTTTCCCACAGGCCAGCACGCAGGCCCGCCCGGCCAGGTGCCCTCCTCGTCTTCCCCCCATTGCGTGAGTGGCCACTGAGGAGACGCACCCCGTCATCTTAGCACTTCACTCTCGTTTGTTTTCATTGCTGGAGGGGGCGTGTGGGCTCGCCAGAGAGGGACAGGGCACATGATGGCCATGCCGTGCCCCGTCTTCCCCATCGTTCCCTCCCATTGGGATTCCAGGCATGCACATGTGTGCGCACCCAGTGTGTTTTTTAAGTCTTCAGAGCTAGGATTTGAACCTCAGTTGGCCGTGTGGGATTCTTATCCTCTAGGTCATGGGGAGCGGCTCCCACATAGATGGAGGACATGGCGGTCTGCCGCATGTGGGGCTGGGCTGTCCGGCATCCAGGCTTGGCCTTGAACAGTGACACCTAGTCCGGCCCCTGGACACCTTGTCTTCCGAGGAAAAGCGACTTAGCGGCCCTCATGGAAAAGCTGCACTGGATGGTCTGCACACATGTCAAAGCCAGTGGGCTCTGCTCCCAGCCAATGCCGCGCAAGCCTCTTCTGTAGGCTGGACCCCCAGGTTGTTGGTCAGAAGCAGCCCAAGTCTGTTCCCTCGTGGTCAGCCCGACTCCCAGGCCCCACTCTCACGGAACCTTCCCTTGTGCCATTGGCTGGAAGCCACAGGCCCCACCCGGGGATGCTGGGGGAGTCAAAGCGTGTCAGCCAGGCTGCAGGGGG